TTCTGCCATTGTAGTCTATCATCAACTGTCGACAGATACTCGATTCTAGCCAGATCTGGGCGGAATTTAACACCTGCTCCTTGTACATGATCAATCCAGCGATGGAATAGAACATCGCGAAGCTGTAAAAGAGATCATCACTCTCTAAAATCATAAAAAAGCTAACATCAACACACCTGTTGGTCAAAGTACCCTGCATAGGCAAGGAAAGCTCCAGACAGAAGGGCATCTCCAACAAGGGTGTCCATCTGTTGAGCAAATCCATCGCATCCACCAGACCAGCGATCACGTTCAGATCGTAGCGATGACAAGAGTTCAGTCGAACGACCGACCTAAACAACTTTTTTTGAGAGGATTTTGTGTATGCATATGCATATCAAAACTCAATAGTACATTCAGTCAACAATTTACTTAGAAAGTTGAGAGAAACAACGAAAAGCAGTGAAAATTTTGATTTAATTTACATATAATTATTACTGTGATATAATCACCTTCTCCTGAACAGTTGCCAAATCCATCTTGATACTCTCAGCCTGTCCAATCAATTGTGCATATTCCTCCTTGTAGGCAGCGATAGACTGCTCTAGTTGAGCAATTCTGGCTTTCACTTCGTTACCTTCCGTGGTCTTCTTCTTAGCATCAGACTCAAGACGTTTCAACTCATTTCTAAGTGGTTCGACCTGCAAAAGATATACGCTCCTTTCATCCCAGGTAAATAAAATGAAAATGAGTATTTCACCTTGTGCAACATTCCAGAGTAGAGAAGCTGCGCCTTAGCCCATTTCACCATAGGGCCGCAAGCTTGTGATGCTCGGTTGACCTGAATTGGATAAATTGACCAGCTAGGAGAGATTAAATCACCTTTTGGTGAGCACATACCTTGTCAAAGTCCCAGTCAGGATTATGTACATATTTATCCATTTGCTTGAGGATATCCGTGGTGATGCTGTCTGTGTCGAAGGCTAAGATACGCGGCATGAAGTCGTCTTTTACCATAACACCACGAATTGCCTAGAGATTGATAAAATATACGATAATTGCAGAAGTGGCAGCGGTTAGAAACTTACCTTCCAGTCTGTGCCAACGTTCTCTCCCAGTAGGATACAGATAGCTTCTAAGGCAAGTTTCACCATGACAGGTGGACTGGCCATGGATCTGACCTCTACCAGCTGGTTCTTTCTGATGCCCTTGACAGCCTGTTGGGCTTCTTCGACTGCTGGTTCGACCTAAGATACTTTTAGCTATGTAGACCACACACAAAGCCTGATATGCAGTCAAGAATAAAAATATTGATAGAAACCTGGCTCAGATCTTTCTGCACTTCCGTTTTTTTCGCGGCAATTTGCTTGAGCTGCTCAGCTAACTCCTTTTGCAGCTGTTCAGAAAGTCGCTTCTCGTCTTCTGCCTAAATTCTACCATAAGGCTCGCACACGACATGCAAATAATTTATACCTTCTGCTGATCTGCCAACATCTCTTTCAGCTTCAGATTAGCTGCAGTCTTTTTCTCCTCCAACTCTTTGCTCTTAAGTGTAAGACTCTTCTGTAGTTCCTTTACTTGCTCCTCTGTCTCACGGATCTTATTCAATCCGATGTTGAGATGGACCTAAATATAAAATCAAACATGATACATCAAAACCAAATGAAATGAAGAATACTACCTTCTCCTCTTCAAGATCACGTCGTTTTTCATGGAACAAGCCCATGAA